AAACGTTGGCGCTGACACACGTTCCGAGGATCATCGAACATCGGGGCAAGGTTTCTTCCCAGGAGTGGCATGCCCCTTCCCCCTCACGCTCTGCGATGAAGAGGTGGCCCACGACTGACAGCACAGCGACAGAGATTTGCCCACTTAGGTGCACCGCGAGCCATCCTGTTTCTTCTTTGTACTAGGGTTGTGGAGGACGATCAATGGAGAGGAAGCATGTTGCCAAATAATTTCCAGATGCCTAGAACATGTCTCACACATGTTTTAAACATGGTTTATAGATATGTTTAAAACATGCTTGGAACATGTTTCCTACATTTTAACAACTTTAGAATTCAACGATAGGACTGTTACAGTCAACCCGAATAGTAAGGATGGCCAATTCTCCCAAGGGTACCCTTGCATCCTTACCTCCTCGGCTCATCCTTGGCCAGTCTCGTTGACCGGTTCCCGCTCGAAGAGCTTCGACGTGGCCTTCCAAGGCCCGCGCATCCCTATCGCGCATCCTTACTCTACGGGTTGACTGTACAGTGCCGTCTTTAATGCATACTCCGCGTGCGGGTCATGTATTAAAAATGCAGGGATTCAGTACTAAAAACAACGATGCGTTCATGCCCAAAATTGTTCATACATGGATCATTTCTTTGTTGTAAAAACCTAAGCATTAAAACCTGCCCTGTAGGGTGCCCACTTTCGCGACACCCACAATGCTGCAGGGGCCGACTATCGCGCAACCCCTGTTTTAAAAACAAAACCCAATATTTTTAAATCATGGTTTATTCATGTTTTAAAAACCATATGTATACACACATATGTATATATATATATATATATATATATATATATTTATAACCAATATTTCTTTAAAATCTAGTGTTTCAAGACTGCCTGCAGGGTGTCCACTGTCGTGACCTCCACAGTGCTGTATAAGGGGCCGGCTATCGCGCAGCCCCGCACAGGGGCTGCGCGCGGCGGTGCCGGCCCCGCGCCTTGCGCGAACGCCTGCGCGAGCGCCTGCGCGGTGCTGTGAGCCGCGCCCCCCGCCCGCTCCGGGGCCCGCTCCCCGGCGACGGCGGCCGCGGCGGCGTGGGGGGGGGCCTCCTCCCTCCTCGGGGGCGGCAACGAGGGGGGTGATGACTGTCAGGGGGGGAAGGAACACACAGGCACAATGAATCGTCCACTCCCAGGAAAACATGGGAAGTGGGGGGGGAAGGCAAAAACCCAGAAAATATGGAGAAAATATGGGGGGACAATTTTATTTGTGTGTATTTATTTGTGTGTCCTGGGCCCCTTCAGACTAGGGGGGGGGCAAAGAGGGGGGCAACGAGGGGGTGATGACTTGGGGGGGCTGGGCATCGCTCGGACGTGTGCATTTTTCCTTCGGCGAGGATCATCGAGAAACATCCTTGATCATCTGGCGATAAAACCGCGCGCGAAACCAAAAAAAACACAGGGAATGGACGTCCGAGCGATGGCCAGGGGTTGGATCTCATGGCGCGGGCCATGATATTTTAGGGGAACAAGAAGTAGCACAAACGTAAGAACTCGGAGGTCCGCGCGGATTTCTCGGATCGGCGCTGGGGTCCCCTCCCTGGCGCGCGGAGCGCGCCAGGGGCGGCGCCGGAGGCGCCGCCAGGGGAGTCCCAGCGCGGATCCGAGACATGCGCACGGACCTCCGAGTTTTTATGTTTATGTCACTTTTTGTTCCCCTAAAGAGGGGGGTGATGACTAGGGGGGGTTTGGATATCATGGCGCGGGCCATGGTATTTCCCCAGATCTCGTGGCGCCTCTCCTTGTTTCATTACGTCCCTGCCCCCCCCCCCCTTGGCCGCGCACATGCCGCCGGCCATGATTTGCGCCCCCTCTCTTGGACAGCCCCCTCTTGGCCGCTCCCGACCTCCTCCAGCTCCCGCCTGCGTCCCCTCCGGCACGGAGTCTGAAGAGGGGGAGGTCAGGGGCAACGACGGGGGAGAATAGGCTAATTGGGGAGGGGGGGGATGCAGAGACCCCCGGTCGCCCGTTCG